CCCCCCCCCCAGGTTGCCCCCTGTATTCCTCCTCACTAGTGCTGTTTGGGCTGATGAAGCATCTGTGGGGAGAGCCAGACCACCTCTTCCGAAGGCAGAAGGCCCTGTGTCTGCCCTGGCATTGAAGTCTCTGTAAACAGTCCCTGGCCAAACACCAATCCATACATCCTGTTGTTGTATGCAGAATAAATAAAGTCACTGTACACACAATTGTGCACACGTGTTCTCCAGAATCTTCAGGAAACAGGAGCTTAGAGATGTGAAATGCCCTGCTCAGGGTCACTCGGATAATACATGGCCAGAGCTAGGGCACAGCCCGCTCTTCGGACTCCCCAAGTTTCTGAGTCAGTTCTGGTTTCTGTTTCACAGTGTTGTGGTCACATGAGGCCCCAATCGCAGGGACTTTGAACATTTGGTTTTCAGGAATGAAACCGTGAAATCCTGTGGTTCCTCTGCGTGGGGGTACGGAGAAAGGGGGTGACTAGGGTGCTAGCTGAGAAAACCTCACTGGATCTGATTGTCTCGTTCATAAAACCAATTGTTGCCTTTTGACTACAAATGTTTTAAAAATATACTATTTACATTGATTGGGGTGACATTGATCAACATGAACATACAGGTTTCAGGTGTGGGTTTCTATGTTGCACGATCGGTTTATTGCACTGTGTGCCCACCACCCAAAGTCAAATCTGTCACCTCTTTTTTTTTCTTCTTAATTCAACTGCAAAACTTTTGCAATTGCCGTTGGCCCCGGAGGTCAGCTGCGCCCTGGCTCTATTTGTGGTGTGCCTGGTGAACCGAGGCAAGAGTGCTCGCTGGCAATCTTTGTGCTTCCTGCCTCTAAGAAAGCAACCTCCATGAGAATGCACAATAAGTGCTTGGTGAGTACCTAAACGGATCGTATAGTTCGGTGCCCATTTCACAGACGGGTAAACTGAAGACTTTGAGAGACAGAAGCTGTAGGTAAGCGCCTCTGACCAAGTCCGTCCAAATACACAGAGCAGCTCGGGTCCGAACCGCATTGCCCTCCCCCAAAAGCCCAGTCTCAGGGCGGCAGCCCCAATCCCGGCCGACTTCCCGCGGGTTCTCCCCGCAGTGCGTCCTGGATCCCGCCAGGGGGCAGCAGAGGCGGCGGCGGCGGCACCCTGTCAGCCTCGAGATTTCCGCTTCCGGGAAGTGCTGGCCGTTTCCGCTTCCGGCTACTTGTTGCGTGAGACGCTGACAGGAGGATGGACGGGCTGGTGGCTCAGTGCTCCGCGCGGCTGCAGCAGCAGGTCGGGCCGCAGGGGGCCAGGGGGAAGGCGTGGAGGGGAGGGACCGGCCCCGGCTCCCGCCCGAGCGTCGTCGAGGCGGCGGCAGAGCGGCCGGGACCGGCCCGTGCCCCTCAGGCGCGCGCAGCGGGGTCCCGGGACCCGGGCGGTGGTGCCTCGGAGGCGAGCCCCCTTCCAGGGGTGGGAGGGAAAGAACCCTTCGTTCCAGGGCCCCGCCCTCTCGTGCACCCTCCCTCTCCCAGCCGGCATGTCCTGTTGGGCTGGAGCCTGGCGAGCTCATTACAGCCGCCCCTCGGGGTCCCTCCTGCCCCGCGCACACGCGTGGCTACAGGGGTTGCGGGGGGCGAGGCGGGGAGGAGAGGCGCCGTGGGTCCGGGGTTGCAGCTCAGCCTCCCTTCTCTCCGTGGTGCTGAGCAGGAGGAATTCTGAAAAGCCCAGGGCAGGGCTCATCGCACGGGACTTTGCTCGCTGCCTTCACCGTCACAAGCTCATAGTGAAAGCGAAAGTTGGGCAGTGCCTTGGGTGGGAGGCAAGGAGCTCAAGTTAATCATCGCCACGTCCAGGGAACGGGTTTATAGCCCTAACTCGGCAGCCCCGAGGTTCAGGCTGACCGAGCAAACCGGCAGGTCGGCTGCTCCGGGCATCTGTTCTGGGCCAGCGAGGGGGGTCTAAGTGCTTCTTCCCTGGCGGTGGGAAGGATTATAGATACAGTTTCTGAAGTGTTTAGCTCAGCACCTGGAAGGTAACGTTTGCTTATTTATGCCAACTGTGTTTTTGTGTTGTTGGGTTTTTTTTTGGGGGGGGGGGGTGTTTGGTTTTAGTTACGTCCTGGTAAACATTCTTACATGTCAAGGGACGTCCCTCTCCCTCGGTAACAGCAGTTCGGTCGGAAGCTTTACTTCCTTGCGAGTTGGCATGTCTTTGATTTTAGGTATCAGAGTAGAAAGCCTGGTCTGGGATCTAAGACACTGGAAAGAAAGGGGGGAGGGAGGGGGGAAGATCCAGAGAGGGCAAAAGGCAAACACTTGTGCCAAAGAAAGAAACCTGGGATGTGAGGCTTACCCCATTGTGTGCTTCACACTCGTAATTTTTCTTTCACAAGTTTTCCGTATTGTCAAGGATAATGTGCTAATGTCATCAAAGAGCTTGAGGAAGGACAGTCCCCACTTACCAAAGGGAAAGTCCTCCGTCCCTATCACCTCTGCCGTGCCCGTGCCCGGTGGAGAGGGGAAAGGAGGAAGTGAGTTTACGGTCCAGTGGATTACATCACGGAGGCCATCAGTCATATGGGGCCGAACAAAGTGCCTTTTCTTTTACAGGAAAGAGAGATCAAGTCTCTGACGGCTGAAATTGATCGGCTGAAAAACGGTGGCTGTTTAGAAGCTTCTCCGAATTTGGAGCAGCTGCGGGAAGAAAACTTAAAATTAAAGTATCGACTGAATATCCTTCGAAAGGTGAGTCCCCTGGTTCTGGTTTCATTCTACAGTTTGAATTATTGCCTCTCTTTAGAACTCCTTGCTATTGAAGATTCGGAAAGTTGGCTCTGAGGAATTTGGACAGTTTGTCTTCCAGGGCTCTTAGAAATGTTTCCTCGTCCTGAATGTTTGGCCAGCTTCAAGGTAGGGTTAAGACTTTTTTTTTTGAGACATTTTTAAAAATGTATTTTTATTGATTTCAGAGAGGAAGGGAGAGGGAGAGAGAGAGAAACATCAGTGATGAGAGAGAATCATTGATTAGCTGCCTCCTGCGCACCCCCTATTGGGGATTGAGCCCGCAACCCCGAGCACAACCTGGGCATGTGCCCTTGACCGGAATCGAACTTAGGACCCTAAAGTCCACAGGCCGACGCTATCCACTCTGGCTAGGGCAAGACATTATTTTTTAACAGTTTATGGCTGTGCCTTTTAATAGGATACTTTTTGAATTTTAAGTAAGTGCCTCAATCAATGGGAAATGTTTCAAAATACATTCACAGTCCTCTTCTGCCCCAAGTTGGTTATTTTGCTATTTTATTTTTATATTTTATAGTGTCATAGTGGTTGGGTTCCTTTTCCAACTTAATATTTCTGAACAATTTTTTTCCATGAAGCTTGTGCTGTCTTTGTTATTTAATGACCTCACCGTCTAATAGTGTCTATCAGTCTTGTTCAAAAACTTTAGCTTGCTTCTGTTGGGTTTAATCTTCTGGCCTGCCTTTCGGGTCTGCTGATGACACATCCTCGGGGAGGACCTCACTCCCATGCATGTTCTGTGTGTGTACTACTCTCAGCCGGGCTGACTGGCACGGTGTCTTTTCCAGTCGGTCCCATTTATTCATCTCAGACTCTGCCTGCTCTACTCTCATGAAATCTTCTATTGCCTATGTATGCTCTGTTCTGCTTCAGATAGCTTTGTCTTTTTGTCTTCTAAAATCACAAAATTTCTTTTCCATGGAATCTTCCCCCAAAATACCTTACCTTTGTCATTACCTCATTCTTTCCACACTTACTTATACTCGTTTCTCTATTGTATTTTTTTTTCTTTGTATAACTTTCTTAATACTTCAAAAGTATTAAGTGCCTAATATGTGCTCATGACTATGTAAAAGATACAAAAGGACATACAATGTATTCTAATGCACATGTGCCTGATACAAATTAGCTCTAGTGTGTAAGTATGAGAACACTGCCAGTGTAATGTGGGCGGCACGGTGGTTCTTTCACAGATACTGTGGTCTACTGAGTAACAGCTCCTGAGCTGAACACAAGGTACACAACAGAAAATAGCAAGCCAAGAAGGAAAAAAGTACTGTGTGGGACGCCCATTCACCCCACTTCTATTCCTGGAGCACTCTACCATGTGCTCTGACTTAGAAACACTTATTGGATGGTTTATCTCAGAGGCATTTTACCGTTGTTTTCATTAACTCAGCACCTTCAACTCTTCCTTATTCCCTTTCCATTAAGCTGTCCTTATCTGTCTTTAAGATGAAGTCTCATATTTTAAAAAAATACATTTTTATTGATTTCAGAGAAGAAGGGAGAGGGGGAGAGAAAGAGAAACATCAATGATGAGAGAGAATCATTGATCGGCTGCCTCCTGCACACCCCCTACTAGGGATCAAGCCCACAAGTCTGGCATGAGTCCTGACTGGGAATTGAACCGTGACCTCAAGGTTCATAGGTTGATGCTCAACCAGTGAGCAGCACAGGCCAGGCTAGGCCCAGTTCTTGACACAGTGCTACTCAAATCCCAGCTTTTATTATTTTTGCCATTGTTATTGACATTTTGATTAACATAAAATTGTTACTAGTGTGTGGGCAACGTTTTTATTTGTATTCCATAAAAGCATATAAGTTCAGTCACCATTTTTTTACCTGTTGCATAGTAGGTGCAGTGCTAGGTGTCAGGGATGGAGCCATGAATAAGTACTTTTCCTTCCTCCAGGAGTCTGGTAGTGGAGACACATAATTCTGAGAAGGTGTGATAAGTGTAGTAATAGAGGTAACTAATTATATACCATCTTAAATGAAGGTATCCCACTTCACAGAAAATGAGAAGTAGGAGGTAGGAGTAGTCCAACATGGGATTATTTAACAGTAAGACAAAACAACCTGTTTTTCTGATATTTAGATACTACCTATCACATTTCATGACCGGACGAGGTCAACATTTTAATTAAGAGACAACATGAATACATTTTTTTACTTTTATTATTATTACACTTTACAGTTCAACATTATTTTGTATTAATTTCAGGTGTACAGCATATTGGTTAGATAATCATATACTTTACAAAGTTTTTTTTACTTGTTTTTGTCCATAGAGTTTTTACTTCCAGCATTTTATATATGTCAAATTTTATACTATTTTTTCAGAACTCTAGAGAAGCCAAGAAGATTTGGTCAGCTCTTCATACTCCTTTCTCTCAGTTTCTGTTCTGGTAAAATAACTATAGAAAGAGAGCTTGGGGCATTTCCTGTTTCTGTCTTACATGTTCTACGGGATAGACTTGTCCTGTTACAGTTCCTAGCATACCCCAGATGGGAGAGCATCGCATTGTGAGTGTATGTTACCTTTGGTCTTCTCAGGGTATTTGAAGGTTTCTCAAGGTATTTGGGGATTTTATTGACATATTTTTATTTATTTTTTTCCCCAGAGTCTTCAAGCAGAAAGGAACAGACCAACTAAAAATATGATTAACATCAATCGCCGCCTACAAGAGGTCTTTGGCTGTGCCATTAAGGCTGCGTATCCAGATTTGGAAAATCCTCCTCTACTAGTGACACCAAGTCAGCAGCCCAAGTTTGGGGACTATCAGTGTAACAGTGCCATGGGTATCTCTCAGGTGAGTGCATTGTGAAGACACGCTCTGGGTGATGTGATTTTCTCACATGTTAGCTTCCTCATTACCTTCTATATAAATAATAGCAAATTTGTTTCCTCAACGAAAATAACATTTCCCACAATTCTGAAAAACTTGAGAAAAGGGATTTTTTTTTATTTTTAAAAAGCACAGATTTGAATATTCAATTAAATTTTATAAGTATTCACAATATTTAAGGGCAATAGTAGGTACTGTTCTGTTTTTGTACTTCCCTCCTGTTGCAGCCAGGGTTTCTGTGTGTTACTGGTGAGTGATAGAAGGTGAGGGAGTAAACGTTAGCCATTTACCACCCAGCATTTCCATCCAATATTTGATGCAACTGTGGTGTCTTTGAGGTAGACTGATGGATTTCATTTCCAGTCAGTATTCCCTGTTTTTAACAGCTGCCTTGTCTAATGTGTTTGTGGTTAATTGCCCAACTTTGGGCATTTTCGCTTTCCTTTCTTTGTTGAAGAGAAAGGGTTCAGCTAAAGAGTTCAGATTCCTCCCTCCCACCGAGATAAGGTGTGTCTTCATTGGGGTCAAGTTTATAAGGGTGGTTGTTATTACCCAAGTCTGCATATTGGCACACTCGTGATTTGAAAATTAGAAATGTAAATATCTTGGAAACAGAGTAATAACTAATGTCTTTGTAAAAATGTTATAGACGTGTGTGGCAACTCATTCTGAATTGGAGATCACGTGGTTTGGGCACTTTTGTATTCCTCTTGAGACTTGATGCTTGATGCTTTAATCTGTCCATGTACAAGGTCATTGGACTTCTCTGCTTCTGCCTTTTGTTTTTTTTTTGTTTTGTTTTGTTTTTTTTTTTTATAATATTTTGTTTTTATTTTTTTTATTTTTTTTAAATACATTTTATTGATTTTTTTACAGAGAAGAAGGAAGAGGGACAGAGAGTTAGAAACATCGATGAGAGAGATCGATCAGCTGCCTCCTGCACGCCCCCTACTGGGGATGTGCCCGCAACCAAGGTACATGCCCTTGACCGGAATCGAACCTGGGACCCTTGAGTCCGCAGGCCGACGCTCTATCCACTGAGCCAAACCGGTTCGGCTGCTTCTGCCTTTTGATTGGTCTGTGTCATATGCATCTAATGCTTTGTCAGTTGTGCATTTCTGAGTAACTTGCTGAAACCCGTTGTATAATGAATCGTTTTGTATTGTATTGTAGATGCTCAAAACCAAGGAACAGAGAGTTAATCCAAGAGAAATTGCCGAAAACATTACCAAACACCTCCCAGACAATGAATATATTGAAAAAGTTGAAATTGCTGGTCCTGGTATGACAATGTTACCCTTCTTAAGTTGTTGTATTGATGCTGAGCCCTTTTTGGAATAAAAATGAAAACCGTAGCTAAATATAAATGTAGGATTAAGTCCTGTATATTGAACAAGATGGTGAAAGCACCTTGGATTGAGAGTTAGGAAAACGAGGTTTTAGTCTAGACTTAGCTGCCTGATCTTAGGTGAAGTTTCCTTACCTCTCCACGATTCAGTTTTTCTTCAGCAAAAAGGTAGACAATGGCAGATAAGTCTGTGGCTAAAAGGCGGTCTATTTTTTGTTCAGAGGTGAACAAATCATTTGCTGCGAGTGAAGGGGCCCTGAATTAAGTCAGCTCTCGGGACAGTGGTAAGGTCTGGAATAAGTGCTGAAACGGAGCTGACATGGGGCCTCAAGCCAAGGCCCCAAGTGGTACTGGAATCCTGAAGAGTTTTGCCAAAAGCCAGATTAGCTCTGTGGAGCCAGCATAAGTGAAATTGAGGTCTTTGGGAGAAAGCAGTTCTTAAAGATAGGAGGCTAGCTGATTTTTTTTTCTCTCTGCTGTTCATTAGGTTTTATTAATGTCCACTTAAGAAAGAATTTTGTATCAAAGCAGTTGACCAATCTCCTAGTGAATGGTGTTCAACTACCTGCCCTTGGAGAGAACAAAAAGGTATATGTACAATTTTTAATTCATATACTAATGTAATACTTAAGACTATGAAAAGTGCTGTAACTGGGAATGACTTTTACTTCTCATACTGAGGTTTAATCACTGATATGTGAGATTATGAGCATAACTCAGCGTAGCCTTTTTCCTGGACCTTGCTTGTTAGATGGTTTTTCTTTTCACTTTATTTCATAAGGCATTTGAAGCAACCAGCTGATGTTTTTGAGATATTGCTGAAACAAAGCATAGATAATTTGTATAAACGAATTCAATTAATTATGGACAGGTAGATTCATCAGAAAAACAACGCAGTTGAAGTATAAGCCAAGCTATTATTTAAGTCTGAGTTTGTTATTACATGTTATTAATGAATGTGTTAGCAGAATAAAACGTTTCTGCCCCATTTAAAAATTTATTTTTATTGAATGTATTTGATATAACATTGTGCAAATGTAATATGTATGTGTTGTTTTGATTTATTTATATGATATGTTGTGATGTGATTGCCTCTGTACCTGTATTTATCACATTACATAATTATAGTACAACATTGTTATCTATAAAAGTCTCTCTTTTTGTTTTCTATTCCAGGTTGTAGTTGACTTTTCCTCTCCCAACATAGCCAAAGAGATGCACGTAGGCCATCTCAGGTCAACTATCATAGGAGAGAGCATGTGCCGCCTCTTTGAATTTGCAGGATATGATGTGCTAAGGTATATACTCTTGCCTTTGAAACATTCTATAGCAAATGACCAATGTCACTTGAGAAAAAATCTTTGACTATATCAGTGTTTTATGAGTGTGGTTCTGCTCTTAATCATCAGTAGGCTTTTTTAAAAAATTATGTCCTGGGCCTCTCCTCTGAACTAGTAACTGGGGGTGGAACCAAGGAAAAGGTACCCCCGGCCCCATTCATTCCACAGTATTTCTTGAGTGCCTTCTGTATAGTAGGGGTTTATATTCCAATACGGGGAGAGGTAGGCAAGGGACTTGCAGGCCATGGCAGGAAATCGGGATTTTATTCCTTAGTGTAATAGGAAGCGACTGGAGAGTCTTAATTAGTAGATCCAAGTATAGACATACCTTGGAGATACTGCAGGTTCAGTTCCAGACCACCACAATAGAGCCAGTACCACAGTAAAGCTATTCATAATCTTTTTGCTGGTGGAGGGTCTTGCCTTTGATTTTTAAAAAATGCAACTTCACCCTAGCTGGTTTGGCTCAGTGGATAGAGCGTCAGCCCACGGACTGAAGGGTCACGAGTTCTGTTCTGGTCAAGAGCATATACCTTGGTTTCAGGCCCGATCCCCAGCAACCAATCTGTTTGTCTTGATGTTTATATTGATGTTTCTGTATGTGTCTCTCCCCCTCCCTTTCACTCTCTCTAAAAAAAAAAAAAAGTAAATAAAAAATGAAACTTCTGTGAAGTGCTATAAAGCATGGCACAATAAAATGAGGTGTGTCTATAATCTACTTCGATATTACTTTGGCTTCCGTGAAGAAACCAGGCAAAGGAGGAATTATTATAGTAATAAGTTAGAGGGCTATTGTAATCCAGTTAAGATGTGATGTGGTGGTTTGAGACTAGTTAAAAGCAGTGAGGGATGAGAAGTGGTTGGATTGGCATGTTTTGAAGAATTTTGTCCATTGACATTTGAGAACCACCGGTACAAATTACACTGAGATAATTGGTTTAAAAGTTAAATTTTCATAAAATTATAATGACCAACATGGGCTCAACTATCATTGTCCCAGTTAACTACACAATAAGCAGATCACAGTCTATTGGTAGAGACTTCATTCATTCAGCAAATTTTGGAGACCTGTTGTATGCAGTCTGTGTTACTGGATGTACAGGCACCTAAATATTAATGTTTGTCATTTTAAAATTTTGTTCTCTGATTGGTATCAGATTAAACCATGTAGGAGATTGGGGAACCCAGTTTGGCATGCTCATCGCTCACCTGCAGGATAAATTTCCAGATTACCTAACAGTTTCACCTCCTATTGGGGATCTGCAGGCCTTTTATAAGGTTTGATATCATTTATTATATTATTTGTGTGTTTACCATTAAGTCATAATTATTCATTTTCCTTAGGGAGTTTAGATGGTATTTGAAGCTGCTGTGGACCTAAATAAAAGTTGCTAAACTCCCTACCCCTTAACACCTTCTTTGCTATTGTATTGGTGTATGCTAAAAATTAAATTTTCCCACTTTACCTATTACTAAGTGAATTTAGGAGTTTGTTAACCAAAATACATTTTAGTATTTAAAATATTTTTCCACCCTCTCCCAGTACTTAAAATGTTTTTGATGCTCTTGTTTTCTCAGTTTTATGTATTTTGAAAATGTTATTAAGTATATGGAAGAAGAGTTTTTATTTTTTTATTTTTTAAATAAATCTTTATTGATTTCAGAGAGGAAGGGAGAGGGAAAGAGAGATAGAAACATCAGTGATGGGAAAGAATCATTGATTGGCTGCCTCCTGCATGCCCCCTTCTGCGGATCAAGCCTGCAAACCAGGCATGTGCCCTTGACAGGAATCAAACCTGGGACCCTTCGGTCTGTAGGCTGACGCTCTATCCACTGAGCCAAACCAGCTAGGGCTAGAAGAACAGTTTTTAAAAGACAAATTTACTGCCCTGGCCTGTGTGGCTTGGTTGGGCATCATCCCATGTACTAAGAATTTGCTAGTTTGATTCCCCATTGGGGTCCATTCCTGGGTTATGGGTTCAATCCCCAGTAGGGGGCATGCAGGAGGCAGCCAACTTATGTTTCTGTCTCCCCCTCTCTCTCTGAAATCAGCTTTTAAAAACATTAAATCTCTTTTTTCTAAAATTTACCATAAATCCTACCTTTAAATTAATCACTGTGGTCAACCTTCTTTGATTTTTTAACTTATCCATAAATTTTATTACATTATTTGTAATCTATATATATAAAAGCCTAAATGACTGGATGACCAGCTGGTAGCTATGACGCGCACTGACCACCAGGGGGCAGACACTCAACGCAGGAGCTGCTTCCTGGTGGTCAGTGCACTCCCACAGCCAACCTTCACCCGTCCCCCATTGCCGACCAGCCAAGGGACCCCACCCTTGCACGAATTTGTGCACCGGGCCTCTAGTTATAGTATAATTTTGTATTATACTTAACATTTTATTATAAACTCTTTCGTGTTACTTTATAAAATGACTGCATGTTGTTTTGTTGGATTAGTGTACCAGAGTTTGTTAATCTGTTATTGATTTTCCCCTCCATTTTGGGGGGCTCTTATCTATTCAGTGAACAACTTTGTACATGTAGTTTTTTTTTTTTACTTCTTAAAATTATCTTAACTTCCCAAGAATAGGATTATTACATTAAAAAATAAATATGCCCTAACCCGTTTGGCTCAGTGGATAGAGCATCAGTCTGCGGACTCAAGGGTCCCAGGTTCGATTCCGGTCAAGGGCATGTACCTTGGTTGCGGGCACATCCCCAGTAGGGGGTGTGCAGGAGGCAGCTAATCGATGTTTTGCTCTCATTGATGTTTCTAACTCTCTATCCCTTTCCCTTCCTCTCTGTAAAAAATCAATAAAATATTTATTTTTTTAAAAAAGTAAACATTTGTGGGGCTTTTTGTTGCTTGTGTTGAGTTTTGTTTTGTCTTTTAGTAAATGTTTTCTATTGAAAACAACCAAAATGTTTACTGATATGAGACAGGTAAAATAGCTAGTGTTATAATTACCTGTTGGAGTCCTGTGCTCTGAATAATGAAGCAAATCTATTAATGCAAGAAGATGTTTATATTACATTGCTAAAATTTTAAAACTATAGTAAAAGAAAAGTGCTGTATTTCCAGTTTTTGTTAAAACATATAGGGGTGTATTTACAAAGAAATGTCTAGAATTATATACCAAAGTTTTGTTATTACTGGTTAGTTTGGGGTGGGATTAACTAACTATATACTATAGTATATATATACTTTTATTTTCTTTACAGTAAGCATGTGTTGCTTTTAAAATTAAAATAAAACGGTGAAAGTAATTTTATTTTTAATTTTAAAAAATATTCAGGCCCTAACTGGTTTGGCTCAGTGGATAGAGTGTCGGCCTGCAGACTGAAGGGATCCGAGTTCGATTCCAGTCAAGGGCACATGCCCAGGTTGTTGGCTCAATCCCCAGTAGGAGTGCTGGAGGCAGCCAATCAGTGATTCTCTGTCACCATTGATGTTTCTATCTCTCTCACCCTCTCCCTTCCTCTCTGAAATCCATTTAAAAATATATATATTTAGGACCACATCTAAATGGAAAATAGAGTCCAGTAAAACCAGACCTACCTGCTAGCTATTCTTTATTTTTCCACTGGAACACAAAAGCATTGGTGTGAGTAGGCTTTTGTGAATTAGAAAAGTTAGAGGTAGTACCATGATGAGAATTTTGTATTTTCAAGTAAAATGATTTCAAAAGAAATAATAGCATTCTTTGACACATTCGTTTGTAACAATATTCTTGACTATGAGATAGACTACTTGTTCTGATGTTCTAACTTTTCACTTCCTCACTCTTTGGCTTTTTGGTGGGTTTTGTTTGTTTTTTTGAGAAATGAACAAATGCTTAATCTAGAATACAGGGTTCACTCTTTTTATAAACCTTACTTTTCTTTATTTAAATACAGGAATCCAAGAAGAGATTTGATACTGAGGAGGAATTTAAGAAGCGAGCGTACCAGTGTGTAGTTCTGCTCCAGAGTAAAGATCCAGATATCATAAAAGGTTGGAAGCTTATCTGTGATGTCTCCCGCCAAGGTGAGTTTCTGGACTTTGTTCATTCACTCAGCAAGGATGCTGCATGTCGTCTCCTTGAGTCTTTATTCAGATTTGATCTTAAATGACATGTTAAGCTTTCAAGGACTGGCAAGTAGACTTTTAAAGCAAGTTTATTAAGATAAGCAGGTAGGCCGTAACCGGTTTGGCTCAGTGGATAGAGCAGCCGTGGGCAAACTACGGCCCGCGGGCCGGATCCAGCCCGTTTGAAATGAATAAAACTAAAAAAAAAAAAAGGACCGTACCCTTTTATGTAATGATGTTTACTTTGAATTTATATTAGTTCACACAAACACTCCATCCATGCTTTTGTTCCGGCCCTCCGGTCCAGTTTAAGAACCCATTGTGGCCCTCGAGTCAAAAAGTTTGCCCACCGCTGGGATAGAGCATCAGCCTGCGGACTGAAAGGTCCCAGGTTCGATTCCGGTCAAGGGCATGTACCTTGGTTGCGGGCACATCCCCAGTAGGAGGTGTGCAGGAGGCAGCTGATGGATGTTTCTCTCTCATCGATGTTTCTAACTATCTCTCTCCTTTCCTCTCTGTAAAAAATCAATAAAATATATTTTAAAAATGCTGCTCTTAAGCATTGAAACTTGCTTATTTAAAAAAAAAAAAAAGATAAGCTGGTAGAAAATTAAACTTTCTCAGAAATCAGAAAAAAAATTAATTAGGAAAGAAAGTGGAAGAGAAAAAGACCTTTGTTCACGTAGCAACCAAAGCTATACAACACATGGGAATAAATTTATCCAGAGATGTGTAGGACTGAGACGAAGAGAAATACACAGCAGGTGTAATAGAACGTTTGAACAGAGTATCATGCAAAGTCCCCTACTTACTGAAATTCATTTGTCATTATAAGACAATTTCAAGTTTTCAAACTTGACAAAGTAATTGTAAAGGTCATTCTGAAGAATAAGTAAATAACAATAGCTAGTAAACCTTTAAAAAGGAAGACTAATGATGGCTGTTTTGTAGCACTAGGTAGTAAAATGTTTTATAATGCTACTGTAAGTAATATTGTGTCACTGATGCATGGCTAGACAGTCAGTTAAATGGTACAAATTAGGAAGAGGTAAAAAGAAATTGAGTAAATATTTGATCTTCAAGTAGGAAAGGCTTTTCTTTCTTTTTTATTTTTTAAAAATAAAAGTTTTTTAAATTACAAAAGTACATATTCTTTGTAGGAAAAATGTAAATGTGGACAGGAAAAAGAAAAAATTACCTATAGTCCCACCCACTGTTAATATTTTGATGTGTGTCTTACCATATTCTTGCCACGTTTTCAAAATGGCAGTATGCATATAATGTTTTGTATCATACATTTTTAAATATAATTTTCTTCCTTCCAAATGGTTTAATTAAACAATAAAGTTATTTTACTGTAAGATGCATGTTTCCTCTTTGTTTAAATTCTTAACCATTTTCTTCATTTGGTGACTTTTTTCCCTAGAGTTTAATAAAATCTATGATGCATTGGACATCTCTTTAATAGAGAGGGGGGAGTCCTTCTATCAAGATAGGATGAATGATGTTGTAAAGGAATTTGAAGATAAAGGTGGGTGCTCCTTTTATATTTTAACTCTGATTATGGAAATTTTCAGACAAACGCTAAAGTGGAGAGACTATTATAGTCTCCCCCTCCCCCACAACTCCATGTACTTGTTACCCAACCTCAACAATTAGGAATACAGAACAACCTTATTATGTCTGTTCACTGCTTATTACATCATATAATTTCACCCGTAACTATTTTGGTATGTGTCCAAATGAACAGGCTCTTCCTCCCACTTCAAAATCATTTTACCATTACCACTCCACGAAAATTAATGATAATTTTTTATATTAGTAAGTGGTCCATCAGAGTTTAAATATCCCACATTGATTCATAATCTATTTAGCTCATGAAGTGTGGTGTGTGTTTTTTTCAGAGTCTGAACATTACATTTGTTTAAAATATACTTAAGTTCTGTAAATCCATGGGTATCGCTTCTCTTCCTCCTTTTTTTTTCCTTTTGTTGTTGGAAGAAACTGAGCCATTTGTTTTACAGAATTTTCCATATGGTGTTATTTAACATAATTACTCTCTATTTTTAAAAGAGGCTTGATTAAATTCTGGTTTGTGTTTTCTTTCCTTATTTTGTCTTTTATTTGCAAGAATATAAACAATGTCCTGTTGGCTCTTTTTGTGATACTAAGATGGATTCCGGGGTTCAGGTGTTGTCACCTGATCTGTCATTAAATCTCCCCACTGGACTTTCCCAGCGGTTTTAGGAGCTATTGATGATGATGGCTTTGATCCATTACTTCATTAGAGGTTGGAAAATGGTGGCATTCTGTCATTCCTTCTTTGTTACCTGCAATTTCTCGTGTGCAGAACTTTGTCACATAATTTTGGTTACTCTGATGTACAGTTTATATAAGACAGTAGAATGCTTGATTTGATTTTTCTTTATCAATTTTCAGAATAATAAATTAGTTTCTTAGCCTCTTCCAGATATGACAACTGAGTTGTTCTTAGCATTATTATAAATGAGGTTTAGTATCTTACCTAATAATAGACAAACATGTAAATTGACCCCCCCCTCTGCTACACTCACCAGCCAATCAGAGTATGCAAATTAACCCAACAAAGATGGTGGTTAATTTGCATACGTAGGTGCAAAGCAGGGGAGTGAAGACTGAAGGCTTTGACCGGAGCAGCAAAGACTGAAGGCTCTGGCTGGAGTAGGGCCTGGGTCCCAGGTGCCAGAGGAAAACTGGTGCCGGCAGCCAGGGGAAGGGAAGGCCTATTGCACGAATCTCTTCGTGCAACGGGCCTCTAGTCCTATATAATAAAAGCCTACTATGCTAAGTGTCCGGTCAGCTGTTCAACCAATCAAAGTGTAATATGCTAATGATATGCTAAGGCCTCTCAACCACTTGCTATGACATGCACTGACTACCAGGGGGCAGACGCTCCAACCAGTAGGTTAGCTTGCTGCTGGGGTCTGGCTGATCAGGATTGAGTGATACAGGCCGGACATGCCCTGGAGCCCTCCCGCGGTCCTTCCCCAGCTGGCCAACCTTCCGCATTCCTCCCCACCCCGATCGTTCACCAATGGGGTCCCTCGGCCTGGCTTGCACCCTCTCACAATCCGGGACCCCTCAGGGGATGTCGGAGAGCCAGTTTCAGCCTGATCCCGCAGGCCAGACCGAGGGACCCCGCTGGTGCACGAATTCGTGCACTGGGCCTCTAGTATTTTATATTTTTCAATCACTTGCTTTGTTATTTTTTGTAATTCTCAAATTATTCCATTTTTGGCTAATGGATTTTAGAGAGAGAAACATTGATTGATTGTCTCCTCTACATACCCCAACTGGGGATCGAACCCGCAACCTGGGTATGTGCCCTGACCAGGAATTGAACTGGCAACCTTTCAGTGCATGGGACAACACTCAACCAACTGAGCCACACCGCCCACACCACCCCGGGGCAGGACCATACTTTTATTTTTAATTTTTATTTATGGACTGATTGATTTTAGAGAGAAAGAGAAAGATTGATTTCTTGTTTCACTTATTTATGCATTCATTGGTTGCTTCTTGTATGCGCCCTGACCAGGGCTAGAACCTGTAACCTTGGCGTATCAGGACAATGCTCTAACCAATGGAGCTACCTGGCCGGGGCTGGAACCATACTTTTAACATAAAATTTTAGCTCATTTGCTTAGAGAGTGGTACTGATACACCAAGATTGCAGGTTTGATTCCCTGTCAAGGCAGATACAAAAATCAACCAATGAATATTTAAATAAGTGGAACAACAAACCAATGTTTCTCTCTCTCAAAAAAAAAAAAAAAAGATAAACATTTAAAGACTCTTTAATGAAGAGAAAAGAGGCACAGAGAAGGTAGTAACTTCCTTAGGTCACATGGCTAATAAGTGATAAGTCTGATATTCACCCTGAGGCAGTTTAACTTTAAAAAAAAGCAAAAATAATAGTATTTATTGCACATAAGACTTAGCATAGTATTTGGCACACGGTAGCACTCAAATATAGCTGTTAGTATTGTCATCATGTTCTTTTAACACAGTTTAAGAGGCAGTGATAGAAATTGCATCTCTCTCCCAGGAAAGGCTGTAGCTCTAGCTTGAAAACAAAGCATGGATTTACGTATGCTGTGTCTACTGAGCGGGTGGCTCCAGTGAGGTGTTCTACAAAGAGTTTGGGAGTGTCAGTCCAGAAAATGGTCAGGATATCTCACCTGTGCCCTGAAAATACCCTGGGTGTCAGACAACCTTGACAGTAGCCATTTTGCAAGATGCATAGGTCACGGAGAGAAAAAAATCATGTAATGTCTGAGCTCTAATAAATATCCTGTAATGGCTAAGCATTTATATTCTTTCAGGGTTCTTTTAACATTATTAATAAAGATTATTCTTCTAGGATTTGTGCAAGTGGATGATGGCAGAAAGATTGTATTTGTCCCAGGATGTTCCATACCTTTAACCATAGTGAAGTCCGATGGAGGTTATACCTATGATACATCTGACCTGGCTGCTCTTAAACAAAGACTAATTGAGGAAAAAGCAAATACGATTATCTACGTGGTGGACAGTGGACAAGTGAGTTTGTAGATTCGTATATTTTCTTATATTGATTAGAGATGAGACGGTCTGGTGAGGTTTGTGGCATTTGGCACTTGAAGACTAAATTTTCCCCAAAGACTGGCATTCAGAACATCATTTGTAACATAGGAGAAAAAACACGGTTTGGGTTTGGCCATACTTGGACACTTCCCTGCTTTTCAGCTTGTCTCCATAAACAGGAAACTGTTACTTCCCTGAACCTCAGTGACCATTCCCAACTGAAATGGTGTTGTGAGACAGAAAATTTAACTGAAATTAGTGTACATGAACCTGCCCTAAATTCAGTTGCTTTAAAAACCTTTAGACATAGAAAGTGTACCAGTCCTGCTCTTACTGTTTCTCATATGGAGGTAATAAAAATAGCTTTTACTAGTATATTACACTTGCCTTACAAGATTTGTGAGTGATTTGAATTTTATAAACCTTTATCCTTAAGCATAAGAGCTGTAAGTCTTTTTATTATTAGAAAGCTTACCAAGTAACTTTCTATTTCTGTTCTTTTGTAGGCTGTGCACTTCCAGACAGTATTTGCTGCTGGCCAAATGATTGGTTGGTATGACCCTAAAGTAACTCGGGTGTATCATGCTGGATTTGGTGTGGTGCTGGGGGAAGACAAGTAAGTCTGGAAAACCTAAGGGGCCCAAATTTCTTTGGAAGAGTCTGTATTTCATTTGATACCATGTTAGAATTTTAAAAGTCCACACTTTTTAAAGTCTACATATGTTCTAATGGTGAACCCAGCTGAGCTGTTTTGTACGTATGTCTTATCACTGCCAGCGGATGTAACCTTTTAGGGGGGTTTATACAAAGTTGAAAGAAAACCAAACTATAGAATTAATAGTTTTCATTCCCACAGTTCTAAATTATAAATTCTATCACAGTACCTCCTTAGATTTCCAACAAAATATTCAACAGTATATTTCAAGCATTTTTGTAAATGTCTGAGTTTTAAGGTTCACAGCGTCCATTTTTATGCTTATCTCAAGTATTTTTGAGACATGTTACTATCTATACTTTCAGTTTTTCTATAATCCAGTTCTTTCCCCACATTCTGCTTAACTTTTATGATAAAAAGGTAAATACAAGCAAATACTTATATATAGTGTTCATCAATTCCAAGGCACAAAATTTTTTTAACATTTTACATTCAATAGAGATTCCTTAGCTATTTAATTAATATGTCTTTAAAATCTGTGGCATTTTAGATTTGGTGACACAGCCCAAATACTACCATTAAACAAAGACAGTAATGCTTACAATAACCACATGAAGTAGCTCTAGCTCAAAATGCTTGACTGGCCAGTGTACAAAAGCCCCAATTAACATAAAAGGCAGGTAGGTGTGTCAAGGTATTATTTTAGATGCTGATTATCCGGAGATCAAAGGCCTTGGCATCAACAGCAAACATGTTTTAATTATAGTGTATGAACCTTCTGAAGAGCTGCACATTTTTGTAATCAGAAAACACTGACTGGGACCTCATGATGCTCATGGTCCTAAGAAAGTGCTGAGAAACTAATCAGTGAGTTGAGTGTTGCTTATAGCATCTTAGTTTCTTAACTGTTGAATTTTTGGATGAACATTTAGATGATTATTCCTATAGTTAGGTGACATCATTAAATTGGCTTTTATTTTTTATGTTTACCACCAAAATATATCTTGACACTTAACTTCCTTATCATGTAATAGCTAAGGGGTCTTTGTGGTGGTGGTTTTACATTTCTGCGCTCTCAGCATCTTGTGATTACGGCATCCTAGACCATTAAAAATGAAGACGAATTTCAGTGATAGTTAACCACGTTAACTGGCTCCACAGAGAATTGCTCTGCTTCAGATGATAGGCTCCTTCAGGGAAGAAGCCACGTTCTAGGTACCTTCATGTACACACGTTGGAGCATCCGGCTGATGCATGCACAGCAGGTGCTCAATAAACAGGCATCCAAGGAATAACAGGGGTGATAAATAAAACAATAAATCATTTATTGTAAAATGTCTTAAAGCTGAAAAATCTCACGAAAAAATAGGTGGCAGAATCTCTGAGCATTTTAGTGTAAATATTTAAATATGATAGGCTGCCATATTTACCCAGGTAGGAAGCAACAAAAAAGATCAATTTTTGCAAAATGGTGATGGTAAGGAAGACTTCACTTAGCCCTTTGACTAGGCTTTATAATGGATATCATTTCATCAGACAAGATTTGCGAGTTGTTGGACACTCAAAGAGGGGATGGCATAAGGAAAGCCATGCAGTATTTCCTCTATTTCTGGGATAATAAAGGTGTTTCAATTCTATGATAAAGGGCAAGGAGATCCTTTTGTTTTTTCTTTTTCTTTTCTTTTTTTTTTTTTTCAGGGAGGAAGGGAGAGGGAGAAGTGATAGAAACATCAGTGATGAGAGAGAATCATTGATTAGCTGCTTCCTGCACGCCCCCCACTGGGGATTGAGCCCACAACCTGGGCATGTGCTCTTGACCGGAATCGAATCTGGGACCCTTCAGTTAAGAATTCACCTACTTCCCAAACATGTATTTTATTAATAATTTTACTAAGAAAGTAAAACAGCTAAGCCAAACTTAGTGTTCAGGAAAATAGACAAAATAACAAATGCTGTTTACCATCTTAGGGGATGTATTAACGATGAACATGTCGAGAATGCTATTAGGAACCTAAAGCATAGAATGCTTTAAGCTGAGGGCTATAGAGGAAGGACACTTGAAAGTATCTGTTTGTTTCTTTTGGCATCTTCCCTGATTACCAACTGGAATAGGGCAGTATCAAACCTTCATTTTCAAAGATTTCTAAGTCGGGTCTGTTTCAAAATCTATATAATTAGGAATTTCAATAAATTTTTTTAGGAAGAAGTTCAAAACACGTTCAGGTGAAACAGTGCGCCTCATAGACCTTTTGGAAGAAGGACTAAAACGATCCATGGACAAATTGAAGGAAAAAGAAAGAGACAAGGTAATTAAAGGCCTATGTGCATATGGTATACCATGCATTGTGTTGTGATTTTGTTTTTGTTTTATCGATAGAACTGGGAAGGAATCAGTCCATTTACAACAGGCTTTATTACTCAGATCTTACTGCACAGTAAGTTTGTTTCGTGAGTTGCTGAATATTTATTTTGAAAATACAGTTTTGGCGTTTACAAAACATGGCTTCTTTGTTAAAGTGGCATAGTATCTCTGCTTCTTATTGGTAGTTTCCCTGTCATTGCTTTGAACCAGTGATGGGAAAGTATTGCAGACTGGGACAGTTTGAGTCTCCAATCTGCATCTGCTGAGCTCCTTTCTCTGGGAGCATTTGTAGAATAGTCATAGCAGACTACCACCCAAGGCCACTGATGAGCCATCAGAATAGGCAACACAACAGGGAGGCTTATACTTAACTTTATTAAAAATTTCCAAGGAGCTCCCACCCGTAACATATGATTATTCCACTTGCCTCATCCTCGCCAACACTTGATTTGTCTGTTTTTAGCCTTTCTTTTGTGTGTGGTGGCATCTCACTGTGGTTAAAATTTACATTTCCCTATGAGCAATGATGTTGACTAACTTTTCATATGCTTATTAGCCGTTTAGATATCTTCTTTTGTGAAGGGTTTGTTCAGTCTTTTGCTCAGTGTTTGTTTTAAACCGGAAATGTTTATTACTATTTATCCACACATTTAGCTTTCCTGTGTACTTTATTCCTTCCTGCAGTTTTTTTACTTGCACCTAGGATTATTTTCTTCAGTCAGAAGGTCTCCTTTTAGCATTGTGTGTGTGTGTGTGTGTGTGTGTGTATAGTACAAGTCTGCTGTTGATAAATTTTGTCAGTAGTTGTCTGAAAGCATCTTTATATTGCCTTCAGTTTGGATGTTTTTATTGGGTATAGAATTCCAGTTTGTCAGCTGTTCTTTCAGCATTTCATTTTTATTTTTTTATGTTTTTTAGAGAGAGAGGAAGGGGGAGAGAGAAACACCAATAGGCCTGCCTCCTGCATGCCCCCTACTGGGGATCAAGCCCACAACCCAGACATGTGCCCCAACTGGGAATCGACCGACTATCTCTTGGTGCATGGAACGACACTCAACCACTGAGTCACACCAGCCAGGGCTCTTTCAGCATTTTAAAAACAATGTTCCATTGTCTTCTAGCTTCCAAGTTAATTTATCCAGTTTTTATTTATTTATTTTTTTATTGATTACAGAGAGGAAGGGAGAGGGAGAGGAGAGAGAGAGAGAAACATTAATGATGACATAGAATCATTGATCAGCAGCCTCCTGCACACCCTCCTACTGGGGATCGAGCCCCCAACCCAGGCATGTGCCCTTGACCAGAATTAAACCCAGGATCCTTCAGTCTGCAGGCTGACACTCTGTCCACTGAGCCAAACGAGCTAAGGGTATCCAGCTTTTAAATAGTTGCTTCTGGTGTAAAGGTTAGTCTACTACAGTGATGGCGAACCTATGACACACGTGTCAGAGGTGACACGTGAACTCATTTTTTTGGTTGATTTTTCTTTGTTAAATGGCATTTAAATATATAAAATAAATATCAAAAATATAAGTCTTTGTTTTACTATGGTTGCAAATATAAAAAAATTTCTATATGTGACATGGCACCAGAGTTAAGTTAGGGTTTTTCAAAATGCTGACACGCCGAGCTCAAAAGGTTCGCCATCACTGGTCTACTATAAGCTACTTAATCAAGTTCAGAACAGAAATCCTTAATTACTTACTTGTGGCCTAATAATAGTTCAGAATGTGTGACCAGCCCGGCCAGAGTTGGTCAGTGGTTGAGCGTCGACCTATGAACCAGGAGGTCACACTTTTTTAAAGAAATACCTTTTTCAGAGAGGAAGGGAGAGGGAGAGAGAGGGATAGAAACATCAGTGATGAGAGAGAATCATGGATTGGTTGCCTCCTGCATGCCCCCTACTGGGGATTGAGCTCGCAAACCCTGGCATATGCCCTTGACCGAGATCGAACCTGGGACCCTTCAGTCCGCAGGCCAAGGCTCTATCCACTGAGCCAAACCAGCTAGGGCAGGAGGTAATCAATCGAGATCGATAGTATTCAAAGGATCACCGCAATATAGGGGGGACGCCCCTCCCTCTTTATCGAACTCCTCACCCTCCCCGCCCCCCGCTGTGACCATTCAATTGTACAAAAAAGAGTGATTCCACT